CGATACAATGTTTCAATTTTCGAGTGTTTTTATAAAATATGTTCAAAAGGGTTCGTTCAATTAAGGCGAAACAAATTTAAAAGCAATAAAGCAGGACTTGTAAAATAAAATAAAAGACATTTTAAACTGTAAAAATATATGACATAATATCAAAATAGTTGAAAATGAGTTGATTCAAACGTACATTGTCCTAACTTAACTCATTTCGCTCGTTCGCTTGGATATTCTAGGTGACTAGCATGTAGGAATGTGAAAGTTTGAACCCTTTGCACTATGCATTAAATACTTTATTGATAATACACAAAAATAACTACTTTTCAGTGGGTTTCGCTTTTTTATAAGCCACGTGTCTCTTGTAGCTTCTCTCCATGAACCTACGATTTCCATCTCTGCTATCGAACCAACGTTCTCCATCCATAACACTTTGCTTTGCCAATTATGCACCCTTTGAGCTTTTTAATATTTCTGGGCCCAATCCATTCCTCATGAAGCCTCTTTTCTGGTCGATTGTGTCCACAAGCCCATTCGAATATTTGTGAAATCTCTCCGGATCAAATGCTTTTGTAGTCGACTTCCTATAATTCAAAGTTCTCAAAGAATCTTTTTAACTTTTTATTGAATTTTAACCTTGTGAAAATCCTAGTCAACTCTTGTATTGATAAATTTCCGTCGATCCAATTGTTGTTTTCAAGATGAGAGTTAGGAATAATCTCTTTCTAAACACTCTATTTGATAGGATGTCAAATTTAAAACCCAAACAAAATTATTAAAAGCTGAAAATTTTACTACAAGAAGAAGATAAGTTAAGAAAGACAAATAAAATTAACTAATAAAATAAATTTCATTTTCATTTTTTTAATATTTTCTAATATATCATAGACACTACATATATAATGTTCATAATGGATAATAAATTAAAAGGTCAAATACAACAAGAGTCAAATAACAATATTAATAACTAGAGGTGGTAAAATAGGTTAGGCCCGTTGGAAATGCCCGTTTTTCCGGAACTTTAGTGCAGGGCGAGCTAATAGTTTAGGCCCCCATCCTCTAATTTGTCTGCCCGCCCCGCCTGTTTTCGACGCGAGCTTTTGCTGACAGTTGCATTTTCATAAATATTTGTGTTTTTAAGTTTAAAAAGTGCAATGCCCGCAGACTTTCTCTACCCCGTGCCATATTTCTTGTAGGATGGGCCTAAGTTTTAGGCTTGCATCCTCACTTATACATACCTCGTTCCGTCTTATTTTTTTACAGGACGAACCTAAACGGGACATACATGCCCGTTTTCCGCCCTTACTAACAACTAATATTATAAATATTATTATACTCTTCTATCATTGTCGCCTGATTCACATTGAATCTTGTCCTCAAGATTCAACCATAAAAGTTGAACTCTTAAGTAAATCTCCCGAATTCCACTGTTTGAAAGAGTACCATCTAATTGCTTTAGACATATCCAACTTCTAACCAAAGTTTCACTGTAATCTAAAATCTATTGTAAGATCAACAAGATAATTGTCAATAGGTTCATCCTTTTCACATTTCACCACACTACCTACCTTTGTAAATTCAAATGAACTTATCAAATTAGCAAGGCTTAATGCATTAATCATGATAAATAGATGTCCTGCAGTAAATGTCTCATTAATTGAACAACCAAGGACACTGCTCATGTACCCATGCTATTTACGTGTGTAAGTATTCATACTTATACTCATTACCTGCATTTTTAATAAAAAAATAGATCAATTATAAAATATCATATCATTTTACGTTTTTAAGAACATTAATTTTTTTTTCCAATTTTTTTGTTGAATTAAGAGAAAAAAATACATATATTATATATGTAATAGTCTAACATTGATGTATTTTCTAAAAATGATAGACATTGATGATAGAAACTTTTATTTTCCTTGTCTCATGCAAATGTATAAGTTTGGAGTTGTTCTTAGAAGTTAGCAACATTTAAGTTTGAAATTGGGGTACTAGAGAAAAGAATGATCAAAATAAAAAGAAGAGACAAATATATAAAATAAAAAAGTTAAAATGACTTCTTAAAAAAATTGAAAAGAATAAATGAAAAGGACCAATAAAAATTGCATGTAAAGAATGTTATGAAAGAAACATGGAAACATAAGATAACTAGATACCTAACTCCAAAGGCTTAAGCTTACACCCTCAAAATATTTTACCCTGGCATAAGTCATGTTATAATCTTGAAAAGACCTCAAAATTATTTGTTTAAATAAGACTTTGATTGAATTTGTTAGAAATTTCACAAACTCATGGTAAAATGCTTTTGTGTGTTGATTTTCGGATTACCCTATCAAATTGAGTGAAAAAAGTGAGATGAGAGACATGTTGAGTTCATTTGAATGTTGGAATAACTTTTTGGATTTATTTGGATTGAAGCAGGGAATGTACGTGGTGATCAGAAGAAAAAAAATAGGTGATGTTCATCAGTAAGGGTAAGCATATTATTTCTAATGAAAATTTCAATTTATATGCAAGTTACTTGAGGACAAGCAATAAAGTAAGTTTTAGATTGTAATGAAGCTCTATCATTACGTGATATTTACAAGTATTTTTGACGGAATCGATCAAATTATGAGCCAAAGCAAAGATAAAATGAAGAAGAAGTAAGCAAAAATATCAAAGTGGTAGAAATTGGTACTTAGAATAAATAAGAGAAAAAATGAAGGAAAAAGAAAGTTTTGCCATTGGATTTTTCACGACCCCAATGGTCTCATCTTGGGTGAGATGGAGCAATATTGTAACCGCGATGCAGCCTTACATGGTCGCAATGCATTGAAATTCCGACACACATTTTTTGCTTTAAATAGAAAAAGGTGGCTACTTTTTTAGGGTGACAAATGGAAGGTGAGAAAGTGACGACCAAGAGTTATTGACTACGATTTTGAAGAGCATTGAAGTCATTCGAGAGCTTATATTCCATTGTTTTTCATGAATTCTTCTTATCAACTCATGGTAATTGTTAATTTTACTATGAGTAGCTAAACTATTTTTGGTTAGGTCTTTAGAGATGAACCTAATTGTACTTTGTTGGATCATATAAATGTTTGAGATTATTCAAATACTTGCATGTTATAATTATTATTCAGTTATTCTTGTTCTTACTACTCTTTGTGAGTCGACGAGCGCATAAAGTGATTTTACATGAGTATGGATTATTGACAGTAAGTCTGCTGATCTCAATTAAGGAAATTGTTCAAGTTAGTAATTAACTAGGAATATCTAATTATAAGTTGTGGTTTTAGAATTAACGAATTAGAACACCTAGTTTTACTGTGAAGTCGTCTAAGAAATTAAGGAGTTATCGTTTAAATTAGTGAATTATACATCAAGGAATCGGATGTGGTCGTCTTGTTAATTCATCGTAAAATTATAGCATAATTGTTACTCATGTATTACACGTTCATCGTAAAATTATAGCATAATTGTTACTCATGTATTACACGTTCATCAACATATATAATTAGGGTATTCGAAATAAAGATCTAATCGCTCTTCTTTATCGAAACTTCAACCAGAATTTCTTTTGTGCTTATTTTTAGTATCGATTATCTTTGGACCCCCTTTATTTATTTTAAATTATATTATTATTACCTTGATCGAATTTGCAATTCTTATGAAGACGAATTACTTTATTACTTCGGTTGTATAAATATACTTTCTAAGAGAGTCAATACTTGATCATGACTTACATATTTTCTACTTAATTTCGACATTACTATGTGATAATCTCAACATTGTCATGTTGTCTCATAATTCAACTTCCCATACAAGAACGAAGCATATCGAACTTGATATTAATTTTGTTTGTGAAAAGGTGGTGGCTAAGCATCTACAAATCCAACATGTTCCAGTTCATGCTCAAATTGTGCATATGTTGATAAAATCACTCTACATTGCTCTCTTTACCGATTTTAAGCACAAACTCAAACTGTATTCCCTTACTCCACCATAACTTTGTGGGGGGAGTATTGGAGAAGTTTGGAGATGAGTTAATTAAAGTAATAGTTAGTATTGTTATGAAGTTAGTGAAGATTGTGTAACTAACTTCTACATGAGCTTAAAACTATCAAAGTGATCCTACTAGTATAAGTATTAGATCACATGCACAATGTAAAGGTTAACTAGTCACAATAACAAAGAGTGCAAAACTAAGCTTCAACAAGAACATCTTGTTTTCTCTTCTTCATCTCTCTATAATCTCTCAATGAACCATTACTCAAACTTTACGTATTATAACGAAGTACTAAAGGGCTAACGTACATCACAAATTTAGTTAAAAAGCAACACAAAAAATACCAAGTACAAAAAAAAATAATAAACGATACAAAAATATACCAAGAGAAACCAACCAAAAAATAGTAAAACCAATACAAGAGTAAAGAGTCGTAGAAAGACAAAACTCAAAAAACACTATAAATGATCACTAGTTAGATCTCTCAACCCAAAGACGTGAGAAAAGACAACATCAATAATCCTTTGACACCAAGAACTACAATATTATGTAGGATCGAATAATGTAGAGAGGTTAAGACTTGAGGGGAAAAAATTAACTAATGGAGGACAAATTCGAAATGAATAATTTACATTTTAATATATTATAAAGGATAAAACATAAGTACAATTCATTAGGTGTGATTCTTACTATTTTTTAATAAAAATATGATAAATGTATAATTTTCTATTACACATATATAAATTACTTATATTTTTACTCTTTAAATAATATTTAAGTATATTTATTCTATTTTCATTAGAAAATAATAACTATACATAAAGAATTGGTGTACCTAAGTTTTGTTCTGATACAAAATAGAGCATTATAATTTGAATTTGAGAGAATTAATTTGTATAAAATAATGTAAATAAAGATGTGCGTTATACAACGGTTTATCCCCAAAGCATCGACACACATAGAATAAGAAGAAAAGATAATTGAAGAAAAACACAAACAAAATAAGAACTTATTAAGGACAGCCTGGCTGATATGCTCTATACTTTCGGTCACACCTTCCATTAAGTTTTATATACTGAGGGCTAGGATTCTTAACACATGAACTGCCTAGGTAGTATTTGTTTGGTCCACAGCTAAATGAAAGTTTACTAGCAACCATAGTATTCATGATGTTAGGATTTCCTTTTGATTTTGCCAGTTGATCCATGAACAGATCGGCTTCGTCGTTGATAAAAATACTCAGGCAGCGCAATCCAATGCATCTAGTAGCTCCATCATCAGTATTGTTTGGTGATGCTGCTGAGATATTTTGATGAAAGAGTGATGTTAGCAGTAGTGTTGTTAAAAACAAATAACTTAATGAGCTTTTCATAATGAATTTCTCTTTGTGAAGCTTGTGTTGTTTGAACTAATGTCCAAGTCTTGCTAGCTATATAAATAGGATTTGAAAGTTTTTTTTTGTCGTATAGTATAAAATATATGCTATCAGTCACAAACAATTTACGGTTTTCAAAATGAATAGAAATATAGAGGTGTTGGTGCAAGGTAATGAAGTGAGAGAAGAAAAATGAACAAAAATGATAACAAGACTACTATTATGTATAAAATAGAGGAGATAAAATAGGGATACAATATTGATAGCCTAGTATAGCATATTTATACTAAATATTGAAAATGTCAAAAGACCATATTAAAAAATAAACATTGGAAATTGTAGACATTAACTAAATTATATTTCCAATATCATCCCTTAATTTAGATATTTTATCAGAAGCTAACAACACCAATTTTATCTCTCAAGCGAAGAAATTGATTTGTCTTAACTGCATTCGTTAGAAGATCTGCTAGCTGTTTCTGAGTGCTGCAGTGCAGAACTTCTAACACTCCTTTCTGCAATTGACTTATGAGAAAATGATACTTCGTCTCAATGTGCTTGCTTCTTCCATGTAGCACTGGATTCTTGGCAAGATCAATTGCATACTTATTATCAATCATCAGCTTCAGAGGTTCCTCAACTTCAACCTTCAGATCATGCAAGAGATTCAGAAGCCAAACAACTTGACAAGCAGCTATAGCACCTGCGATATACTCAGCTTCACATGTTGACAGAGCAACGACAGGTTGTTTCTCGGAACTCCAGAAAATGGGACCTCCCAAAAATTTAAACAAGTATCCAGAAGTACTTCTCATGTCCACCCTGTCTCCACACCATTCAGAATCAGAATAACTTACTAATTCTGGTTCTGTCTTTCTCTCAGAAGGAAACAACATTCCATATTTCAGGGTTCCCTTGATATATCTCAGAATTCTGACAGCATCTTGGAAATGAGACCACTTAGGATTACTCATGAAACTGCTAACTAATCCAACTGCATAACAAATGTTAGGTCTAGTATTGCATAAATACCTTAGAGAACCAACTAATTATTTAAAGGTTGTAGTATCAACAGAATCACCATCAGAGTCAGAATTCAATTTTTGATTAATTTTTGATGGTGTCACAACAACTTTACAATTCTGCAGCTTAAACCTCTTCAGAAGTTCTAGTTTGCACTTCAACTGATGTAGAATGATACATTTCTTTGAGTATAGAATCTCCATCCTTAGAAAATATGTCATATTTCCTAGATCTTTCATCTCGAATTTATTCATCAGAACTTCTTTGAACTTCTTTATATCTTCTGAACAACTACCTGTTAGCAAAATGTCATCAAGATAGAGACATACCAGAATCATATTGTTATCAGAGTGTTGCACATAAACGCCATATTACATCTCACATTTCTGAAATTTCTGCTTCTTGAAAAACGAATCAATTTTCAGATTCCAGCTCTGGGCGCTTGCTTCAGTCCATACAAAGATTTATTCAACTTGTATACCATCCCTTCCTGATTCTTTTTCACAAATCCAGGAGGTTGTGACACATAAACTTCTTCCTGTAATGGATTGTTCAGAAATGCAGACTTCACATCCAGATGCTTTAAAGGCCAATTTCTATGTGCGGCTAAAGCAATCACCAGTCTGATTGTTTTATGCCTAGCTACAGACGCAAACACCTCAAAGTAATCTAGCCCAGATTTCTGAAGAAAACCTCTAGTTACTAGTCTAGCTTTGTGCTTGCCAATTGAACCATCTAGCTTAAGTTTCAACTTAAAAACCCATCTGACACTGATGGCTTTTTTCTTATTTGGAAGTTTAGTCAATTTCCACATTTTGTTCCTTTCTATTGCCCCGAGTTCTTCTTTCATGGAATTCGTCCATTCTTTCTTCTTGAGAGCTTCTTCAATGCCCACTGGTTCAAAATCTACTAACATGGCACACTGAACGACTTCTCCTTCAGAGTCAACTTCATTATCCTGCAACATGTCAAAATCTGCAAACCTTCTTGGTTTTCGTATGATTCTCTGTGGTCTTTGAGCTTGTTCTGAAGCTGCACCAGAACTACTATCTTCAAAGTTACCACCTTCAGAGTTTTCCCTTCCAGAACTATGATCACCACCAGATTCTGGATCATCATCAGCATCTGGATCAGAATCAGATCCATTATCAGAATCTTCTTCTGACTCATCTTCAGAATCTTCAGAGTCAGATTCATTTTTTGAACTTTCTAAAACATCTTCAGAGGCTAACTCTGGTGTTGGCACTACACCAGAATCTGATTGAGACTTATTCCAATCCCATGTTTCAGACTCTTTCACTACAACGTCTCTACTGACTTCAACTTTATTTGTTTCTGGACAATAAAGCTTATACACACCTGTACTATGATACCCTACCAACAACATTACTTTGCTTCTATCATCCATTTTTTATCTTCTAGCTTCTGGAACGTGTTTGTAACAGACATAGCCAAATACCTTCAGATGACTGACACTCTGCTTATCTCCAGACCATTTTTCTAAAGGAACAACTTCCTTCAGCTTCTTCATTGGACACCTGTTCAGAATATATGCTAATGCGGCAACAACTTCTCCCCACAACACGTGAGGTAGCCTTTCTTCTTTCAGCATGCTTCTGGTCATATCAAGCAAAGTTCTGTTTCTTCTTTCAGCAAGACCGTTGTGTTGAGGAGTATATGGAGCAGTAACCTCATGTTTTATTCCATTCTCCTCACAGAACTTCTAGAACTTTGTAGAGTTATATTCATCTCCACCATCCATTCCCAGAATCTTCAACTTTTGACCACTCTGCTTCTCAGCCTTCACTTTGAACTTATGGAACTCAATAAACACTTCATGCTTGAACTTGATGAGTGTTACCCATGTCATTCTTGTGAACTCATCCACAAAAGACACAAAATATTTATTTCCTCCAAGTGAAGGTACTGGAAATGGTCCACATACATCAGAATGTACTACTCCCAGAGCATGCTTCACTCTAGGGGCTACTTCTAATGCAAATGGAAATCTGGGTTGCTTGCCTTTCATGCATATCTCATATGACTTCTCAGGCTTCACAATCTTCAAAATACCATGTACAAGCTTCTTAGAACATAAATTCCCTAGGTTTCTATAGTTTAAATTCCCCAATCTCTTATGCCACAACTTATTGTCACCTTCAGCGCCTTCTGCACCAAGACACGTTGCTTCACCTGTTTCTACATTCACTTTGAAAGTTCTGTTACTTCCTTGTTCATACTTCATAATCAAATTCTGATTGGAATCATACAACGTCAGGAGATTGTTTTTCTTAACATCTGAGAAACCTTTCTCAATCAACTGACCCATGCTCATCAGATTGCTTCTAATACCAGAAACATACCAAACGTATTTGATCAGAATGTCTTTCCCATTCTTCACTCTAAATGTGACATCTCCCATACCTTCTGCATTAAGATACTTGTCGTCAACACATCTGATATTTGTTCTCCTTCTGGAGTCAAAGTCTGTCAGCCATTGTTTGTTTCCAGTTAAGTGATTTGAACAGCCAGTGTCTATATACCACCAATCTTCTGAGCATTTTCCATCAGAATCAGAAGCCATTAGTAGCACAGGTTCATCATCAGAGTTTTTCTTAGCCATATACGCTTCTTCTGATTTCCTTTCCTTATTTGACCTACAATCTCTGGAAAAATGGCCAAATTATTTACAAGAGTAACATTGAACCTTCCTTTTGTCATATCTCTCCTTTCCTTTATGATATCTCTTATCATCAGAAGTTGAGGTTTCTGACTTCTGGAATCTATCACCATGTTTATTCTTCTTCTGGTATTTCTTGACAAAAGAATCCTTTAGAGCTTGCTCAACTTCCCTCTCAGAAGTTCTCTCAGACAGACGTAACTCATGTGCTTCTAAGCTGCTTTGCAATTCTTATATTCTCATGGTTTCCATATCTTTAGAATGTTCAATATAAACAATAATGTAATCAAACTGATGAGTAAGCGACCTTAGAATCTTCTCTATGATTACCTGTTCAGACAGAGTTTCTCCACACGCCTTCATCTCGTTAGTGATCAGAATCACTCTAGAGATATATTCAGAAACTTTCTCACTACTCTTCATGTTCAAGTTCTCATATTGCTTTCGCATGGATTGAAGCTTCACCTTCTTTACTGATGCGTCACCACCGTAACATCTCACCAGTAAATCCCACGCCCCTTTTGATGTTGTTGAATCAACAATCTTCTCGAACACGCTTTCATCCACACACTGATGGATATAGAACAAAGCTTTCTGGTCCCTCTTCCTCATCAGCCTCTCAGCAGTTTTCTGTTCTTCAGTTGCATCTGCTGTAGCTGGTACATAACCATCTGTAACCAGATCCAGAATATCTTGCGCACCAAATAGCACATGCATTTGTATCATCCATCTGTTCCATTTTTTGCCATTAAAAACTGAGAGTTTGGTGTTCAAACTACTGCCTCCACTCATTTTAAACCTTGCACAAATTTTTCAGATTTTCAAACACACTATTTCCCAACCCACAGAATCAGATTCTGTTCAGATTTTATTCAAGATTTCAACAGAAAATCAATGAACCAAAATCAAACACATAGCTCACAATCACTCATGTTTCCCAGGAAAAACAGAACCAAGTGCTCTAGATACCAATTTGTTGGTGCAAGGTAATGAAGTGGGAGAAGAAGAATGAACAAAAATGACAACAAGACTACTCTTATGTATAAAATAAAGGAGATAAAATAGGGATACAATATTGATAGCCTAGTATAGCATATTCATACTAAATATTGAAAACGTCAAAAGGCCCTATTAAAGAATAAGCATTGAGAATTGTAGACATTAACTAAATTATATTTCCAATAAGAGGAACCGTTGAATTTTAATTGAAAGCAACAGACTGAATGTAATAAATAAATTGTTAGTTGATCTTGTAGTGATTAACGCTGGACTTGATAAGAAGGACCATTATTCG